CTGCCCCGAGCGCCGGGTGCGGGTTTCTAACAATGGTGCGAAGCGCCGGCGCGAACCCCGCGTCCGCCCAGCGGTGGTAGAGGAAGTGGCCGGGCTCCGGGTGGGGTGGGCAGGGAGACGCCCCCCCCGTCACTCGCTCGCTGGAGTTTGCCTGCGCGCCGGGCCTCTCCGGCCTCGGGCTTCCCCTCCGGATCACCGACGGCAGCTCGAGCCGGAGAGTATGGTGCCAGCGCCCGGGTTAATCTAGTCCTCGGCTCGCTCCTTTTTTCCTCCTCTCCCTCCTCCTTTACCTCCTGTCGGTGCCGCCTCTGGGTTCCCGGCGTGTGGGAGTACAACTCTCTGCCTCTCCAAGGAGACTGGCTTGTGACCACCTAACCTAACTTGCCCATTGAAAGCAAACCCAGAACAGCTGGATAATGTCCACTCCGAGCAGATTCAAAAAGGACAAAGAGATCATAGCCGAGTATGAAAGTCAAGTCAAAGGTAAGGATGGGAGCGGCCGCCTTGCTCCTTTTGTGTGCTTGCTTGTCATTGTGCTCGGGGAGTTGCATTTCTAACTTGGGATCTGCGTTGGAGGAAGGTTGCTAGGGACAGTTCGAGCGCCTGGCAGGGCCACCCGGGGCTTCCTACAAGCCACTTCCAGTTCCAGTCCTAGTCCCGTCAGACCCACAGGGAGCTGGAAAGCGGGTGGCTTTCTCTGGCTGCCAGCGCGCACCTCCAAAAGGGAGAGAACTGGCTTTAACTTAACCACCTTCAGCTGTGCAACTTACATGGTGGCAACTTACATGGGTGGCAGGCAGCAGTAGTGTTTCCTGCCCAGTTATCATCATTATCATCGTCATCATCATCTTTGTTATTCTTTTATAATGATACCATTGTCACAACATAATTTTTAAGGAGTCGTTTTTCTGAAGTCTGGACACGGAGTGGTCTAGAGCTTCATTGAATGCAGGCAGTTTTGACATTTACACTGTTCACTCTTAATTTATTAGGGCGAGGCCCCTTTTTATAAAACAGCTCCCTAGGAGCCTGGCAGTTAAACCAAGCAAAGACTAGTGGAATCTGACTCCTCCTTTATAATGGGCCAGAATTTAGTGCCATCTTTCACACTCACACCGGAATATTGCTTTATCATTTGCTGAAAGCCGATTACATGTAAAATGAAGGTTTGAATGTTTAAGTAGTGATTTCAATCTATTTACATTGTCAACTAATGAAGGAATCTAAGATTGATTATGCATTTTTACTTAACATACTTTGTGATTTAAAAATATATTTTCTCTTCAGTTCAAATATTTTGTGTTTCTGTTGAGATGTTTCATAAATATATTTGTTCTTTTTTTCCTCTCTTGTGGGAGTAGCTTTCTCTGTTGAGACAATGGTTGGAATGTTTAGGTCACTACTGTTCTTTGGACTATTCAATGCAAAGTTCATTAAAATTGTTACATAGACACCTGTGTATGTACAGATACACTCTTATGTGAGGCCAGGGAGAAAGGAATTCCTGTACTCACCTAGGGAAACGCAGGAACCTAGGGAAACGCAGGAGCAGCCTGGGTGTTCTTTTGTATGGTCAAGTTGTGAAAATGCCTGGAGTCCTGTGAGAGGACCTGATAGGGGAGTATGAAATCTGGACCAAGATGCTGGGCAAACACAGTGCAAGCCCAGGGACTCCTATTTCCTTTTTGCTGACCCCTCCCTCATGGAGTTAAGCTAAACATGGCTCAGGAAGATGTTTATCTGTGTATAATTAAGATAATTTATACTTAGAGGAACTGGTTCCATTGGCATGAAGTTTTATTAGCAGAGAAGTAATTATTTCCTTAGAGACAGGTAAACTTTCTAATGAGCATAACCTTTCTTTTCTTAATGAGTCGAACACAGTTTAAAACCTTTCATTCTAAGGTAGAACTCCTCTTCATAATCACCAGTTCTTCAGTGCATTTATTCCACATGGCTCTTTGTGGCAGGCAGGTCTTCACGGGTGGCAGTCTGGTTTTCCTGATGCCTGGAGCACTGGCTGCTGAATGTACTTCCTAATGTTGGTTTAGTTATTTATGCTCAGAGGTCATTTGTCCATGTTCGAGTCCTTATCTGAAAAATATTCTCATGATTAATTTCTCTCAGTATGCAATTCGTAGTCATATGGTTACTTATATGGTTATTTATATGCTTAAGAGTATAGACCCGCTGTGTTGATTAAAAATCAGTCAAATGGGATGTGTTGCAGTGTTTAAAATGTGTATATCAAATTCAACCCAAGGAAAAATGGACATGGTGAAGGTTATTTTGGGAACAAATTGTGTCCCATAGAAAGTGATCTCTCTATTTCTTTCAATCTTCCTCACTTAATACACACTCTGGAATCCTTAGGCTGCTTTATGACTCTTGACTACACTTGACCTGCCCTTCTCATCAGAGCCTATGTCCAGATTTTAATTACCTCTCCTGCAGTACTTCTACATCCTGTGTCTAGCCCAGGTCAGTATATCCATACAGAAATATAGGAATAGGGTAATATAGTGGAATTGGATCTTAGACGCATTTAATGGATTCACCTGTACTTGTAGGCAAAATCAAGAAGAGAGTGGGAGAGAAATGACCGTCAAGTAGTGCATGAGACCAGCAGTTCTACACTGTGAGAGTAGGTTCCTTAGGTAAGGATAGCCTGAAAGTCAGGACTCCAGTTTTGTGTCATTTCCTGAGTCTCTCTTTAAGGCTGAGTGTGTTACCCCAGCAGAGTGCTAGTCCAGTGTTTAAAGATGTGTATTTTGAGAACAACTAGTTCTTAATTCTAGCTAGCTATTTCATCTGATGGCAAACAAAAGAAATGTGGCCTATTCTATTGCTGAAGGAAACCCTGGCTGTGTTGGCCTCCTTAGGAGAAGGTATAGGTCTGTCCCAATGAATAAAGATATTGGACTCTCTGATCTTTGCTTTCACTTTTATCATAATGAATTCACAAATACGGTGTATTATTTGAGTTTTCAAGGAATTGAAATGTAATGCAATAGAAGATACATAAAAATAATAAAACCACGTTCAGAAAAGTATAGCACAGAATGTAAGGTGACTTAGGTGTATGGGTGATTTCAAGAGTCATTTTTGATTATGTTTGTGTGTGTTTTACCTTCTGATTTAGAACTGAATGGAGTATTGTCTTATTCTCTTCCATTTCCCTAAACCAGTTGCATTTATTTCAGAAATTCTGAGGTAATGGTTTGATCTAAAGGAATGACTTCAGATGTAGGATTTTGCCCCTATGGCTGCCTACACATATTTTGGGAACAGACTTCATGGAGTTATTCTCAACTGTGAAAAGAACCATCCTAGGTGTATCATTTTATGCATAAGACCATAAATTTATCCAATTAGATGTGTCATATTGGGCAAGTCACTTAGTGTCTCTCTCGGTTTTGGTTTTCTTGCCTATAAGATGAGTTTAGATTCTTTCAACCCTAAAGGTCTTTGAGTCTAATTGAAGATGTCACGTCAGTTCGTATTAATCACCTACTATAATTTTCAAGTTTTTTTTCCACATTTTCTCAGCTGTGTTGTTTTGGAAGAATCATCTTTGCTTTCACTTTTATCATAATGAATTCACAAATACGGTGTATTATTTGAGTTTTCAGGGAATTAAAATGTAATGTAATAGAGGATACATAAAAATTATAAAACCACGTTCAGAAAAGTATAGCACAGAATGTAGGAGGAGAGAGAACTCGAGTTATAAAAGCAGTTAAAGATTAGATAGGTTTAAATCAGGGACAAAGGGACCACAAGCAGTAATTTAAAAGGAGTGTCTTTGCTAGGAAGAAAACTACTGACCATTTCATGCATGTCGGTCAACTTCCCAAAGATTTAGAATCCAGAGAAATTAATCTCTTGTTTGTGTGGCCCCTTAAAAAACAAGCTTGTCTGGAAAAATATATGAAATGCAAACCATTTGGCTGTGCAGCTTGCTAGCATCTCTGGCAGAAAGTTTAGCTAGCAGTGGAAAAGATTGTTAACATGTGGCTAACAGAAGATTTGGGGGTTATCTGTGGGTTTTAGTGATCTATGTAATTTTTGAATTCTACAGCAAAAATATTGTAGAGCACATGTAAAAAAATACTGGTTCATATATGAGAACCAAAAATATCAAAAAACATATTTCGTGAGATGGAATGTGTCGATGGGAGGTTGTGTTTGCTTTTAATAATGTGCGTTCTTCGTTACTAAGAGTTGACAGCTCTTATTTGCAATATTTTCCTAGGGATAATCTCATACTCATCTCTATGCCATATGTACAGGAAGTACCAAGAAAATCTGTTGTTCTTTGACCACTCTGCTGCCTGAACTACAAATAGTGCATTTTGGTAGCAGATGGAACATGAGGAAATGCTAGCTCAATTTGATATGACCCTGTGTCATACAGTAGGTTTTAATAGGGAAATTAAAAGTGCTACTGTCATTAATATGGAACCTGTGCCTGCATCTAATGTTCTGTCATCTAACATGGAATAGAAAACAGCAATTTTAATTATGAATTAAAACTTTATAGCTGGGAGGGACTTTAGACACTTCCTGTCCAACTCACTCATTTACATGATGCAAGGAGGCATAATAACAGAGTTACACAGTTAACTACCAGGGACTAGAACCCAAGTCATCTGTTTTTTAGTAGCAGTGGTTTACTTTTAAATTCCTCGCAAAGTAGAATAGAGGTAGAACACTTATCTATTTAGACAGTATTCATTGAAGGAATTGTATTTGGACCTAAAAGAGAATAGCAACTCTGGTCTGTTAACAGGAGTTAGGTGAATTGATGAACTGTAACTAAGTTGTTTTTTTCACCAAGATCATTTCAAGAAACCATAGTGCCCAGGCAGCAGCTTCACATGGTGGCCCTAAGATCAAGAAAAACAATGGTGAATAGGTGCACATGCAACTTGCTCGATATTTTGATCCGGCTAATTGCAGCCATTGCAATAAGCCCTCTCATGTTGCCCAGAAAACCTGATCAGTTACATGGAGTTCAAAAAATGTTAAGGAATAGTTTTGGAGAAATTTTTGAGCAAAAGCATGTCCCAACACACAGTGAGGTTTGGAGTATGTGAAGGATGGTAAACCTCAGCCCTCACCATCCAGGTGGGTTTACGTACTCCTGTGCTGGTTCGCCCAGTTTAGGAACCACCCATATCCACCTTTGGTTCCGGTTTGAAAGTTTACTTTGTAGAGTGACCAGACCCTTTTTTTCATTCGTGCTATTTTCACTTCAATTCAGACAACTAAGAATTTGAATAGAGGAAAGGGAGTAAGCTGTATGTCTCATCACTCAGTCTATTTTTGTTTTAGTAGTTCGAAGGCAGAGGTTGGAATTAGACAGTTGCTTGAAGAGATTTTTTAGTTATCTGAAAGTATTTTTATTTGTTGGTCATGAGTTACTTTTTGATTGACAGTGTCGATATTTCAGGATGAGAAGAAATAGAACACAGTGCTTA